GCCAACATTATACTCAATGGGCAAAAACTAAAAGCATTTCCCTTAAGAACAGCAAGACAGGGATGCCCACTTTCTCCACTCTTATTTAACATATTACTGGAAGTCTTAGCCACAGCAATTAGACATGAAGAAAACATAAAAAGGATCCAAACTAGAAAAAAGAAAGTAAAACTGTCATTATTTGCAGATGACATAATATTGTACACAGAAAACCCTACAGGCTCCATCAAAAATCTACTCGATTTAATCAACAAATGTGGCAAAGTAGCAGGATACAAAATTGACATCAAGAAATCGATGGCATTCTCATACACCAATAATAAACTCACAGAAAGAGAAACTAAAAAAACAATCCCATTTACCATTGCAACAAAAAAATTAAAATACCTAGGAATAAACTTAACCAAAGAAGTAAAGGACCTATTTGCAGAAAACTACAAGACATTGAAAAAAGAAATACAGGAAGATATAAAAAAGTGGAGCACATACCTTGTTCATGGATTGGAAGAATTACTATCATTAAAATACCCATACTACCCAAAACAATCTATAGATTCAATGCGATCCCCATCAAAATACCAATGACATATTTCATAGAACTAGAACAAATACTTTAGAAGTTCATATGGAACCAAAAAGACCCCAAATAGCCACAGCAATCTTGAAAAAGGAGGACAAAGTAGCAGGGATCACAATACTAAATAGCAGACTATACTACAAAGCCATTATAATCAAAACAGCCTGATACTGGCACAAGAACAGGCATATAGATCAATGGAACAAAACAGAGAATCCAGAAGTTGACCTAAGACATTATGCTCAATTAATATTTGACAAAGGTGGCAAGAGCATACAGTGGAGTCAAGACAGTCTTTTTACTAAATGGTGTTGGGAAAATTGGACAGCTACATGCAAAAAAATGAAACTAGACCACCAATTTACACCATAAACAAAAATAAACTCAAAATGGATAAAAGACTTAAATGTGACTCATGAATCCATAAAAATTCTAGAAGAAAATACAGGCAACAAAATTTCAGACTCACACTCAGCAGAATTTTCACTGATACAGGCCTAAGGCAAGAGAAACAAAAGAAAAAATTAACACATGGGACTACATCAAACTAAAAAGCTTCTGCACAACAAAAGAAACAACCATTAAAATGGAAAGGGAACCCACTATATGAGAGAGCATAACTGCCAATGATACATCAGATAAGGGGTTAATTTCCAAAATATATAGACTGCTCATAAAACTCAACAAAAGGAAGACAGATAACCCAATTAAAAAATGGGCAGAGGACCTAAATAGACACCTCTCCAAAAAGGACATACAAATGGCCAAGAGACATATGAAAAAATGCTCAATGGCAATAATCATTAGTGAGATGCAAATTAAAGTAACTATGAGGCATCACCTCACACCTGCCAGAATGGCTGCCATCAACAAATCCTCAAACAACAAGTGCTGGAGAGGGTGCAGAAAAGGGAACTCTGGTACACTGCTGGTGGGAATGCAGACTGGTGCAGCCACTATGGAAAACAGTATAGTATTTCTTCAAAAAATTAAAAATTGATCTACCATTTGACCCAGTGATCCCACCTCTAAGAATATATCCTAAGAAGCCTGAAACACCAATCAGAAAGAATATATGTACCCCTATGTTCATAGCACTATTTACAATTGCTAAGATCTGGAAACAGCCCAAGTATCCATCAATAGATGAGTGGATAAAATAGCTATGGTACATATATACAATGGAATACTATGCAGCTGTAAGAAAGAAAGATCTCTTACCTGATGAGACGACATGGAGGGACCTGGAGAGCATTATGTTAAGCAAAATAAGCCAATCAGAGAAACACAAGTACCATATGATCTCACTTATTTGTGGAATATAATGAACAAAATAGACCCAGAGACATAGAAAGGAATATGGTTCAGACTGACAAACCTCAGGGTAGGGGTGTGGGAGGGATGGATGAGATAAACCAAAGAACTTATATGCATGTATGCATAACAAGTGGACAGAGACAACAATGCTGGGGGGGTGGGCGGTTGGGAGAAGGGCGTCTGGGGGGAGGGAGGAGAAACCTCTGTAACAAAAATAAATAAAAATTGAGGAAAAAATGAACTAGATGGAATTAAGAGAATATTATATGTTGAAAAAAAAAAACATAAAATGGCCCTGGCCAGTTTGGCTCAGCGGTTAGAGTGTCGACCTGCGGTCCTGAGAGACCTGGGTTCGGTTCCCGCTAAGGGCACGTACCTCGGTTGCAGTTTGTCCCCGGCCCTGGTGGGTCGTGCGGGTGGCAGCCACTCGATGTGTTCCTTTCACATCGATGTTTCTCTCTCTCTCTGTTCCTCTCTCTCCCTCCCACTCTACCTGAACAAAAAAATGGGAAAATGTCCTCTGGTGAGGATAAAAAAAAAAAAAAAAAAAAAAACATAAAATGAACAGAACAGAGCATCCATGAGCTGTAAGACAATGTCAGGCAGCAGAATGTACATGTACATGGAGTTATCAAAGGAGTGGAGTTGGAGGATGGTTAAAAGAATGTATTTGACAAAATAAGGGTGATGTCTGCATTTGTCTAGCTCTATATGGTACTCTCAGTTCTTAGCAAGGCACCTGGTAGACATCAGCCATTTGATAAGCATTTCTTCAATACTCTTGTGGCAGACCAGTGAATAAGAGGAAAGCACATGAGTGCTATTGCAGGGTATAAGGACCATCAGGGACCAAGAGGGGAAGCAGTATGGAGAAAAGGAACCTTAATAGGAGTCTCACATCTTTAGCAGGGACCTGAAGGATGAGTTCAGTTTGAGGATGTGTACAGTTTAGAGAATTGGAGAAGATGAAGAAACTCATTCAATGTAAGAACAACTTAAATGAAGACTGGAAGCAAGAATAAACATGAGTAGTCTCCATTTATCCATGGGGGATACATTCCAACACTCCCAGTGGATGCCTGAAACCACAGATAGTACCAAGCTCTATATATACTGTTTTTTCCTATTCATACATACCTATGTTTAGTTTATTACTTAGGCACTGTGAGAGATTAATAACTAAGAATAGTTACAACACACTGTAATACAAGTTATGTAAAAGTGATCTCTGCCTCTCTCTCTCTCTCAAAATCGTATTATACAGTACTCACCCTTCTTCTCATGGTGATGTGAGATGATACAATGCCTATTTCTGAATCTGTGGAACCATCCCTTACCCGCTGTAAATGGCTTGGTGTAATTCATTTCAGGGGATCTCTTGCTGAAGTCTTCACATAGACTCAATGCTTTCTGGCACAACACGCTGCCATCAATCAGAATGATTTCTGTTCATGTCTTCCACTCACAAATGTAAAGCCTTTTCCATCTTATCACACGCATTGTGGCCATAACTTGTGCAGGATGAGGTGCAACCGCAAACCTAGCGCAAATTTATTTTTCCTTCTTCCCAATTTTGCAGATAGAAAATTTGTTCTTACCACAGATCTTAGCGACCTCAGTATATGATTTTCATTCAATAGTAAATCAAGAACCTTCACGTTTCCAGTTAAAGAAAACATTTTATGGCTCTCTTTGGCAGGTCCGAATTGCCAGCATCACTATTCTTGCGCTTTGGGGCCATTATCAAGAAAATAAGGGTGACTTGAACTCAAACGCAGTGACACCAGGACAATGATCTGATCACTGAGAAGGCTACAGCGTGACCAGTGGGGGTGGGGGGAGAAGCATACAGCATGGAGATGCTGGACAAACGATGGATGATTCACCTCCCAAGTGGGACTGAGCAAGACAACTGGAGATTTCATGCTTCTCAGAATAGTACACAATTGAAAACTTATGAATTATTTACTTCTGGAGTTTTCCATTTAATGTTTTTGGACTGTGGTTGAATGCCAGTAGCTGAAACCAGGGAAAGGGACCCCGCAGCTAAAGGGGAACTATTGTACCACCTCAGTGAGCGGTGGTAGCACATGGGGGATAATAGAAATCAGGTCAGGTGGATGAGTTAGGGTCAGAATACGAAGTATGTAGAAATCAAAAATGTAGAAACCCATTGACCATTTCTGAACAGAAACCTTTGACGATGAAATCAGAATCTAAGGGTGGGGAGTACAGTGGTGACATCTGTGGTGGATTGGAGGAAACTATTACACTGAACGGAAAAGGTGGGCCAGGAGCAAGGGTGAGAGTGTGCAAGATAATTCTGTCGTGGGTGCTGAATGCCTGTGTGTAAGGGCACTTGACATGTCAGCCCAGACTCGGTCTTGAATACATGTTCGGAGAATTTAAATACTGGGCAAAGTCTTATTTCATTTAAATTCAGGACCAAAGATTTTTTTTGGCTCATGAAATTTTCGAAAGTGGCCCTAAACATCTGTAATGCACATAGAATATCCTTTGCTTCATAGTATTTCATTTACATAGGATTCTAGATCGACTTTTGAAAACGACTCCGTGGTGCACCCAAGTACCTTGTTCTCTTGGTCACTCGGGTGTGTTTCATGACTTTTGTCCTCTTCACCTTCACTCGCGGATTTGTAGGGAAGATTCACGCCTTGGAATTTTAAAATTAAAGTAATGCTTAACTTATCCTGTTTACACCTAAGTGTCACCTTACCCCGGAGTTTCAGTACAAGGACCTTGGAGACCGGAGTCTTTGTCACACGGAGGGGGACTGAGGCCGAAAGTGGCCAAGGGAGCAGAGAACCACCAATGGCGGAGCTGGGAACACGGCTTGAATCAGCGGCAGGGAGAAGGGGCGGGAAAGGGGTTCTTCTCCACCGCGAGGCTGCGTATTCGAGAACCTTCGGCTGGCTAGGTGAGGCAGAAGACCGACCTTCGGCATCCACGCTCGGTACCCCGCCCCCCCAGGTGACCCTGGTCCGCGGCCCCGCCTCTCGCGATACTGGCCGGCCTTCGCCCTCCCGACTCCGCGAGGCCCCGCCCCTCGCCGCAGCCCCTCAGCCGTCACTTCCTGTGGGTCTGCAGGCAACGGGAGAAGATGGCGGCGCTGGGGGAACCCGTGCGGCTGGAGAGGGGTGAGTGCGGCGCTGCCCGGACGAAGAGGGCGGAGGGGTGGAGACGGCCGTGTCGCCGAGGGGAGGAGGACAGGCTCCGCGATCGGAGCCAGGCGGCCCCTCACGCTGGCGCCCGTCAGCGCCCAGCCCCAGGGTCTCTTGACGGATCCCAGACCCCGCGTGGGTCACAGCCTCCCCGGGGCACTGCACAGTTGAACGCCACCTGTCCGCGAGCGCGCACACGCTGCGCACGCGCTCCCTGGGTGGGCACCGCGGTCGCGGCGGTCGGACACTTGTCAGCCCGGGAAACATCACACGCCCCGTTCGGACGGGCCACAGGCTCAGCCCGTGTTTGTGGGTGCACACCCGGTCCCCACCTTCACCCACGAACCGCACCCTGCCCCGACACTGGCACGCTCCGCGGGACCCTCCTCCTGCCGGTTACGCACACAAACTCCATCAGGACTCGGCACCAGCTCACTTCTATTTGTACCGGAGTGTTTCCTGGCTTTGGTGCCCCTCCCAGGCCCGGAGAGGCGCTTCAGAATCAGTCCTGCCGATTTGGCCTCGGGAAGGTTACAGAGCTGGGAGGAAGAGTGTGGGGGATAGTGAAATAGTTGGAAGTTCACTCCTATTCCTCCTTTGCAAGTCCTGCAAATGCAAACCGTGGCTGGTTCCTTGCTATTTAGAGCCGACTGTCAAGGAAAATAAAACCTGTTCTGCCGAGGAATTAGAAGCTCAAAAGCCAGTGAAGATACATGGTTATGTCCCTGTCAGGGTCCTGTTACAGATTTTCAACATTCCATTCTGTCCTCCCCAAATTCTTTATTTCAACCGATTTCAAGCATTTTTTTTTTTTTTTGGCAGTCCTGTAGTAGAAGTCATTGGTTAAGAGTCAAGAAGTACAAACTAAACATTTTGAATATTAGTATGTAGTAAACAGTTTAAGTTAGAAGATTGAAAATACCTTGCAAGTATTAACATTTGCCATTGCAGTCTGAATATTAAGTAACTTATGCTCTAAGAAAGGAATTTGTTTTTTAAATTACTGTATTTGGAGAAGCATCTTTCCTCATGTAGTCACACAAACAAACGGACACTTAACATTGTTTATTCCTTAAGGTGTTCCCTCTTTTAGCCTCTCTATAAATATCGTTGTTTCCCTCCAGCCCACCAGGCCATTAATTAAAGCATCATTTTTGACAGAGAAGTAGCGGCTCTGGGAAGACTTACTAAGTTAGGCCTGTGACATCTTCCTCCTGAGCACAGTGGCACTGTGCTTTATAGATGGGAACAGGGCTGTTTGGTGTTAACGGAAGTAGTGTTTCTCTTTGAAAGCCAGTTATAGGATTCTAACATGTGGGCAGCCTTTTGTATTTTTATGCAGCACAAAATGTGAAACTTAATCTCTGGCATTCAGTTTTGATAGTCGTGGTTTTGGTTTCTGCTGTTGCAGAGTTCTTTTCAGTCCACTATAGAATGCTCAACACCTTAGAATGAATTACTCATGGTTGCCGTTTAGCAGGATAAACGGTTGCCATTTAGCAGGATAAAGTCAATACTACCTCCACTCTGATTCTTACTTATAATTCTGTTTAACAGACTCAATTAAATATTCTCAACAGTCCTACAGTATGAAATCAGTGCATATGATCAAGATCCCTGGACTCCTTCTCAGTCATCAAAACATGATTCAGTGGAACACATTTAAACATGTTAGGTACAGTGTAAGTTCAGTAAAGAGGATTTTACTTTTCGCCCTGGCCGGTTTGGCTCAGTGGTTAGAGTGTTGGCCTGTGGTCCAGAGAGACCTGGGTTCGGTTCCTGCTAAGGGCATGTACCTCAGTTGCAGTTTGTCTCTAGCCCTGGTTGGGTCGTGCAGGTGGCAACCACTAAGTGTGTCCCTTTCACATCGATGTTTCTCTCTCTCTCTCTCTCTCTCCCCCTCCCACTCTATCTGAACAAAAAATGGAAAAACGTCCTCGGGTGAGAATAAAAAAAGTATTTTACTTTTTTTCAGTTTTTTAACTGCATATTGTAACTGTAAATTAAAATAATTGATGAACCAGCAGTCCCCATTCACCAGCCATTCAAGTGTGGTGAGATATCAGAATCAGGAAAATCAAGTGTCCATCGATTTTGATTAACATCAATTTAAGCTTTTATTATGTGAAATTGGAAAATCTGCTTTTTCCTTTACTGCATTCATTCCTAGTTTTCCAGCTGCAAACTCAAAGAAGGCCATATTAATTCTATATAGAAAAAGTTCTAGTCCTTCCACTTGAAAAGAGGCAAGGAATAATAGAACAATAGGTACTCTACTCCGCTGGGGTATGAAAACAGTTAAGGGAAAAAAATCAAAGTAAAGATAATCATTAACAGTGTTGTAACATGACTCTGAATCTCATAAAATGCCTTAATTCATAAAACACTTATCCTCACACTTCCCAATGAGAATTGTCTTAACATGCTTAATGTATTTATATAAATGAGTACCATTCCTTAATATTTCTTATGATTAATTGGTGCCAAATGTAACATGACATTTATGCTTGCTACATGCCAGACCTTTTTCTATATATTGTTTGGTTTATTCATCAAGTAATTCTTGTAAGGAAGGTACTCTTGTTTCCATTTTACAGTAGAGAAACAGACACAGGGAGGTTAAGGAAATTGCTCAAGATCACCCAGCTAGTATTGAGACCAGATTGAAGAAACTAATTGTTTTTATTTTTCTATTTTGTGAACATGTATTTGATTGTCTTAATTAAAACACTGTTTTGATTCTAAGTTGAAAACAGACCAGTTAATTTTATTCATTTATACCATTGTTAGAAATGTGTCTCTGCCACTAACTCCATCTGTAATAGAATAGTCCATATCTACATGTATATTGTGTTTTCCTTTGGGGAATGAACAGTGATTTTTACTAGCACAGTGTTTTATACTGTTCAGTGCTTTGATTACTAATAATGATATGTAAATTTCTATTGACTGAATAGTTACTGATACACTGTCAGCTTCTCTGAAGCATAGACAATGTTTATTTGCCTATCACATTTTTTAGCCTCAGTTCTTTCCTTTGACATTTAGTATTTTCCATTCAGTTTTCTTGTCTCTCATAGGTGCTTTTTCCCAGGTTTTGTACATGTGCAACATCAGTATTTCTTCCTAATCCACTGTAAAATTTTGCATTCTTCTCAGATTTTATATTCCCATCCTTGTGTATACATACTCCCCATCTACATACAAACACACGTGAGCTCACACTCTTATGCTTTTTTTCTCTCTGTTTTTCATATTCTTGTTAGTCCTTAAGGAATGAATCCTATCTGCTATACAGTTACATAGGTACTTAGAGAATCTTCAGTGAAAATTATCTATCAGTGTGTATTTGTTTAACTCTAGATATTTGTAGAGCAATTGAATTGTTGGAAAAACTACAAAGGAGTGGAGAGGTACCACCACAGAAACTTCAGGCTTTACAAAGAGTCCTTCAGAGTGAATTCTGCAATGCTGTAAGAGAGGTGAGTACACAGGATTTCATTTTACTAAAAACGTGTTAAGTAAGATAATACTCTGAAATTTGGGTTCAGAATTTCTTAAGAAAACATAGAAAAACATTAGAATCTGTCCCTCTCATTTTTGGAATTTCTATTAGAAAGATATTTTACATAGATGCATAATTTTGCCTACAATTTAACACATTCATTTCATAGAACTCAAACACAGTATTTTCTGATAAGTAAAATCACTGACCGGTTTTACAGGTCTATGAACACGTCTATGAGACTGTGGACATCAGCAGCAGTCCTGAAGTAAGAGCTAATGCGACCGCAAAGGTAAATCTTTTCATTTACTAAAAGTGAGAGAATTCTCTAAAAATTAGAGGTTTTTAATATATAACTATTAAGTTCATGATAGCCTTGTTTTGAAAACTAACATGTCCTTCAAGCTACATTCAACTTCTAGTACTAAGAAATAGGACCTTTTTTATTGTCTTTACAAAAGATAATCTATCATGCTGGTTAGATCATTAAAATTACAGTTGCACACAAATAATCATACACATATCATGTAATACATAGTTATTTACATATACATATTTAGTTATATCGCTTATGTACATACTCATCAAAGTTTTGATGTATGAATTGTTTTATTACTGGTGAGGAAGCATCACATTAAGTTACCTGCCTCAGACCACACAAACAGAAAACAAACAGTAGCATTGGGTGGGATGCTCTCCAGGTTTCTCTTTGCTTCCTTTACCTTAACTCTGCAAAGATGTGGTCATGTCAGTAGTAGATTATATCTTCAGAGCTGCAGGTACAGGTTTTATATGCTTTCTGTCCTGATGATTTCCTCAATAATTCCAGCATTGGTCTCAGTGTCCATTATATATGGTTAGAATAAGTTAGTATTAGCAGTAAGTGATTTATATTAGAATTAATTATTAGGTAATTTTTCATTGATAGCTACTGGTTCAAAAATGGAAATACTGGATTATCTGTTGCATACAAACACTTAAACATGTGAGTGCATTTTGACAGAGTAGAAACCATAGAAGCTTGGCTTTAATTATTCCTGAGTTATATGACCTTCACAGCTTACTGAATATCTGAGCCTTAGCTCCATGGTCTGTAAAATGAGACCTCTTTCAGAGCCTAGAACAGTGATGTTTAACAAATCTTGAATTTCTTTCTCCCCTTCCCATTTTTGCTCATGCATCCTGATCCATCACAGAAAATTGTACTAGATTACTTGATTATCTTTAAAAGCAAAATGAAACCAAAAATCTCAACTGTGTGTTAGACTTAGTCTAGATTAGTCTAAATTTGAAAACTCGAAATATGTGGCTCTATTTCATCTGTGGAGTTTTCGTAGTAACTAGATAACTAAAGCAATGAAAGACATTCATGTTTATATGTACTCTTTTTCTCTATACTGAGTTACTTCTTGATGAGTTATTTAGTGTAAGGAACAAATAGTATATAGTAGCCAAAAGACTGCATATAAGGACACCTACCTCCTTGTAGGTTATATAGGTAGGTCGCGTCCTACACAAGGGCCCTCGATGGAGGTGGGCTATCCAGCCCCCAAGCTCAAGACTGCTGGCATGCTGGGGGAGAGGGTCTCTTCTTCAGTGTCAGTGTTCATTTGCCCAGCAAGCCTGCTTGCCCAGCGCTGCACAGAAGTTCTGAGCACTGGGTGGACTGCCCCAAGGTATGCTTTCTAGCCATATTCTCCGAAACACCATTTTCTTAGCTTACCTTCTCCTCAGAACTGCCAGTGAATTTGTGGGTACATCAAAAGTATGCACCTCAAAGATAGTCAAAAAGAGACTAGAGCCCTGGCCGGTTTGGCTCAGCGGTTAGAGCGTCGGCCTGCGGTCCTGAGAGACCCGGGTTCGGTTCCCGCTAAGGGCACGTACCTCGGTTGCAGTTTGTCCCCGGCCCTGGTCGGTTGTGCGGGTGGCAGCCACTCGATGTGTTCCTTTCACATCGATATTTCTCTCTCTCTCTCTCTGTTCCTCTCTCTCCCTCCCACTCTACCTGAACAAAAAATGGAAAAATGTCCTCGGGTGAGGATAAAAAAAAAAAAGAGAGAGAGACTAGAGAGCTGAAGTAAACAAAGGTCATATTTTTAAATATGTAAAGTTTTTTTTTCAGGCTACTGTTGCTGCATTTGCTGCCAGCGAAGGACATTCTCATCCTCGAGTTGTTGAGCTACCAAAAACAGAAGAGGGCCTTGGATTCAATATTATGGGAGGCAAAGAACAAAACTCTCCAATATATATATCAAGAATAATTCCAGGAGGAATTGCTGATAGACATGGGGGCCTCAAGAGAGGAGATCAACTTCTTTCTGTTAATGGAGTGGTAAGGGTGTTTTATTTCTATGTGTAGTAATGTGTTGTGACCACTTGGGGGTGTATATAAGTTATAGAAACAGATGTGTGTGTTGCGGGTGAGCTTTGTAGTTAAGAAATCCCTTGGGGGAATCCAGGCAGTACTATTTCGTATTAATACAAGTTAAAGCATTTTAATTGTGTTTTGCTTTTTTTCCATGTAAATTAGCAATGCTTAGTGTGATTTTTATGAAGTGATTAAGCTCTTTAATAGTTAAGACAGTATGTTAAATTAGAAGTCTACCCCTCATTTTAGTCTTATAGAATGGCAATTTCTTGCCCTGGCTACTCTGTTCAGCAGTTAGAGCATCAGCCCAAAGACCTAAGGGTCTTGGTTTCGATTCCCAGTCAAGGGCACATACCTGGGTTGGAGGTTTGATCCCTGGCCCCGGTCAGGGTCCTGTGGGAGGTAGCCAGTGGATATATCTCTCTCACATCAATGTGTCTCTCTCACCTCGATATTTCTCTCACATTGATGTTTTCTTTTTTATCTCCCTCCCTCCTTTCCAGTCTATCTAAAAATCAATGGAAAAATATCCTCGGGTAAGGATTAACAACAACAACAAAGACTGGCAATTTCTTGATTTACTTTTGGCTTAGTGGAATAATAGGGCATGTAGAGTGCTACACTAATTATTTGGATCTTAGAAACCGGTTCCTACAAGCAGAATATGGTTTAGCAGAGGATATTAAAATGATTAAAATGATAAAGCTAGGTTATTTCATAGGTTTATAGTGTTGAAATGATACATTAAACTGTTTTCTTATATGTATTTGAAACATTTTTGCATTTTGAATGAGTTACAAAACCTAGATATTAATTGTGTGTGTGTGTGTTTTTTTTTTCTAGAGCGTTGAAGGAGAGCATCATGAAAAAGCCGTAGAACTGCTAAAAGCAGCTCAGGGAAAGGTTAAATTAGTAGTGCGGTACACACCGAAGGTCTTAGAGGAAATGGAGTCACGTTTTGAAAAAATGAGATCAGCCAAACGCAGGCAACAGACCTAATGCAGTTCAAAACTTTATATTCCATTTTGCTTTTAGCTAGAGAAATTTTACTTGTGACCTACTGATGGCCGCAATGCCAGTGATTGTAAAAAACAAACAGAAACTTCCCGTGAAATGCTCCTTGCCATTTTATAAATGCCTATTTTAAAATCATTTGTGGTTCCAGAGATGCATACACTTTTTTCTGACAAGAAAAAGTAAAAGGTGATGAGGGCAATTTTGTCCTGCTCTTTTTACAGGCCTTTTTCAAATGCAGATTTTGTCATAAAGTTGTTATAGATTTTTAAAAATGCTTTTTAAATATTAAGATGTACTTTTACATTCTTATTTTTTTTTTAGGGAAAAAAGTTTTCTTCATTTTGCTGCTTATTTAAAAATAACAGTTCTCCAGTTCTTTATTTGCTTACTCTTTTTTTTTTAACCTGTAAAATTTCTTTATAGTTTTCCAAGAAATGACAGTTTCAGCTACAGCAGTTTGTTACACTGTCAATGTTAACATCACTGCTGCATTTTGTACTTTGAACACACACACAATTATATATAATCATTGGTAAATCATAACTCAGCACAGTGGAAGTTTTTTACTTTTATTTAAACATAATGTATAGTGAATACTCATTTGTACTGACTTATGAAAGTAAGTTTTTAAACACTGAAACAATCATTGCTAAAATATGTATTCTTTCATAATATTTGAGCAGCAAGCCAAGAAGATTGTTTTTTAGCATTACTGATTAGATCTGTTTATATTCAACAGTATGTCAAACTACAAATGCAAAAAACAGGTTCAGGTTTCATCTTTTGCAAAAAATTTTAAAATGTTATTCATTTCTATTTAAATATATTACTTATATTTTGGTCCTTCCATTCCTAGAGATGAGCCATTTAGTTTGTGGTGGGAAATAGCAGAAGCAAAGAAGAATAAGTAATACTTTAACCTCACTAGTTTCAAGAGTTACATGTTCTTACTAGCTCAGTTTAAAGAATTGATTTTAAATAGGATGATTATAGAAGGATATATTTAAGATATATAGAATTATGAGGAGATGTATTCATAAGAACTTACTCATATTAAAATGGTTGGATTTAGAGATGTGATCTTTGTTTATGGTTCAAATACAATGATGGGAATGCTGAGAGGTACTTTCAGTTGTCCACTGGATGTCACTGCTTTACTGAGAGGCAGCTATCAGTGAAAGACTGTGACTGAGCTTTTTTTAAAGGCTGAAATTAAAGAGTTGAGGTTCATTTTCAGTCAACAATTTATAGGAACAGTTGTACGATTTTTAAGTGACGGGTTCTAAAAGGAAGACAATGCTTTAAAATATATGAGGAATTCAGACCTGTGTAAAAAGTGGGCATTTTGAAACATTCCTTCAGGAAGACTAGAAATGTATACCTTTTTCTGCATGTTTGTGAGCACTGTGGGTCTTAAAAGATTATTCCAGTTTTCAGTGATTTTTCAGAATAAAAGTCAATCAGCATTGTTATTTATCATTTAGGTATTGAACACTGGATTGCATGGTTGAATGTCTGTTTAGTCCACTACAAAATGTGCTTGTTATTGATAGGAATGTTGTTAAATTGTATATTTTCAAAATTAATTGATGTTTTTAAAATGTTGAGACCAAAGTAGTGTAGAAGAATTATGGACTTAATTTAATTTAATTGTAAAATTATTAGAGGTATTTGTTGTAGAGCTTTATATATTAAAGAGAGGTATTGGTGCATATAAAAACAGTAATATTGTTATGCTCGTATACTTGCATTACAGAGTAAATAAACCCTAAAGAAACCTTATTTTAGTATTGCTGCAGCTGCAGTAGCTTTTAAGGGCGTGTCAACATTTCATTATAAATTATAGCTTCCTGGTTCAGTATCTCAGCTATTTCAGAACTTGCAGCCAAGTTAAATCTTTTTTGGTGTTGAAACTTAATAAGTTGAGTAAGCTATTTTTTTTTCTTCTACAGTAATCCACAATCTGTTCTTTGTGTGGGTTGGCGCTTATTTATAATTCTTAAAATAAAGATAGCTTAAAGAAGCCAAATACAGTAGTTTTGCTTGTTACTATTGAGCATGAGTAGCAGTAGTTTGTTTTTGTTGAAACAGTTTTCATAATTTTTCCCAGAATTTTAAACCCTGACCATAGAAAAATTCAATCATTCAGTGGCAAAGATGTACAGTAGTAGTTTGGTATCATGAGGAAATGAAGGGATTTTTTTATTTATAATGAAAAGTATGATTCATGAACATAATCAGGCACATAGTAAGTGTATAATAGGTGTTTTATTTGTGAATTATAATTATCCCCTCTCCCCAGTTTTCATTTATTCTTTGGTATTTTAAAATGGGTCGACTCAGTGGTTCTGAATCTTACCCATATTAGTACACCCTGCAGAACTTTAAAAGATTGATACCTGAGTCGCATCTTACACTAACTAAATCACAATTTCTGAGTATGGGGCCAGATTTTGTGTGTGTGTGTTTAACTTTCCCGGTGGTTCTGAAGGACACGTAGGGTTGAGAACCATAAATTTTCCCCTTTATAAAATGCTCTAATCACACTGGACTGTGTTTGGAAGTATCAGAATAGAATAATTTATAGCTACTATTAAGTAGCAGGAAATATTATGTTTGGTTATATTTCTTAATTTCTTTAGTAATAAAAGGTACTTGGCATTCTTTATTTGGTAAATAATTACAGTCTTTTAAAAAAAATTAAAATCTGCCCATAGTTTAAGCATAAACTTTTAATGTCTGTCATCTTTCTGCTCCCTTTACCTTTTTAAAACTTAAAAAGATAAATGTTTATTATTTGAGAAAACATGTTTAAAAATTGCAGGTGAGAAATAATGTCTTGATAATTACGTGCTGTCTTAACATGGCCACTTTATCTTTACCAATATGCTAGATTATAGTGGCCTAGTTCTTTGGGGTTTAATAATTCAGATGTGTTTTAAAAAAATTATTGTCTTCTAAATTTTTGAAAGTTATTTTGTTTAAGTACTTAACGTAGTTTAGCTTGAGTACTTTGTTTACAATTTGAATGGATATTATCACATTTAATGGAAGAAATGGCTATGGTTTATCTGAAAAGAATGTCAGCATGACTTGGTGTAGATTTAAAAGAATACATGTCGTGAATATTTTATAACGTGGAATGGTCATTGAAATATCAAGGACTCTAGTAATTGTATTTCCTGAATAAATGTATGTTTATGAATTTTCTAACTTACATTTTGTTGTCTCCCCTGCTAACAGTCTGGTTTTATACTCTTTATTGTCCAGAATTTTACTACTAGCGTTTCTTTCAAAGGTTATTGCAGTTCTGTAACAGTTAAATAGTGAACAAACAAATTACTTGCTCATTAATTTTCGAGAACTTTCAAACTGATTTGTACCTGGACATAGTTTAATTCTGTAGTTTGAGGTAAAGAAATAGAACACTCAAAATGGATTTAACAGTTTTTCAATAGATGACTTAAATTACCAATTCTGATTCTAAGGCTTATTTAAAATAGATCTGCACTAATTGGATTTGGAAAAAGTTGGTATAAGTGCACAACAAATCTGTTTCTGAAAGCTGTGTATAAAATAACTTTTAAATGAGGTAAAAATCTATGGGGATTACTGGAATGAAACTTCAAATTCCCATATTTTGCTTTGTTTTTCATAAAATAATAACTACAAAAAAAGAGTTCTCTTGTGTTATTTTAAGAGAGGCAGTATGGCGGTGATTGAGAGCCCAGGACCTGGAGCCCGACTGCCTGGTTTAAGTGCCAGGTCCACTGTTGTGTGTAACTCCCCTGAGCCTCAGTGCCCTCAGCTCTCCTGTGCAGTAAGAGTGCCTGCAAGTGCTGCTGACCGGAAAGCTCTTAGAAGGTGCCCGGCCGGAAGGTGCCGTTTGTGTTTGCTGTTGTTTCCATGTAAAATAGCATCGGGATCTGACTGACTAAAGGAAGACATTGTGGCCAATAATTAAAATGAGCAAGTTCTCACTTTGGATGCCTAGAAAAAGAAAAAAGATAACCTTTTATTTGTGCTTGAAAACTTGAAAAGGGATAAGGTTCATAAGGACTTTTCAGATTTCTGTCCACTCTGACCAAACTCCTGGAATTCTAAAATTAGTGGGGTTTGGGGTATTGGGGAGTTGAATTCACATGCAGAATGAAAAATCATAAGAATCTAAGTGTCATTAAGGAATTTGTTCAATCAGAAGAGCACTTTGTAGGGAGGCTATGACCTAGCTCTAGAATCAGTGGATTGTTGGAATGGGTGTCAGACAATACAAAGCGTAATTCACCATCATGGATTTTTAAAAGGCAGGAAATGTACCAAGCAACCAGGGGTACAACAAAAAGCCTTTATTGTTAGCCTTCAGTTTCCTCATAATTTCAGTAAACCAGAATACCCATTCTCTGCATCATCCAATTTTGGTTTTGTTATATTCATTATCACTGATTATTCTGGTTTTAATATAATAAAGTGGTGACTGAAGTTTTTGTACATTTATTTCTGTAGTGGCAGAAAACCCACCTGTTGACTTCTTTAAGATGATATGTGAAGAGCAAAAGGTAAATTGATACAGAGCCTGTTTGTCAGTTTTATTCCTTTGACTTCAGACTTGTTTTGTTAATCATCTCCTGAGGATCTTTTTTTTTTTTTATCCTCACCCGAGGATATTTTTCCATTTTTTTGTACAGATAGAGTGGGAGGGAGAGAGAGAGAGAAACATCGACGTGAAGGGACACATCGAGTGGCTGCCACCTGCACGACCAACCAGGGCCGGGGACAAACCGCAACCGAAGTACGTGCCCTTAGCGGGAACCGAACCCGGGTCTCTCCGGACCGTAGGCCGACGCTCTAACCGTTGAGCCAAACTGGCCAGGGCCTGAGGATCTTTTTAAAATACATTTTTCAATTGATATTTTAGAGAGATAGAAACATCGATGTGAAAGAGATACATCAATCGGCTGCCTCCTGCACACCCCCTACTGGGGATCGAGCCTGCAACCCGGACAGGTGCCCTGACTGGGGATCGAATCAGGACCTCTCATACCAGTCCATGGGACGATGCTCAATCCATTGAGCCACGCCGGCAGGGCCCAAGGACATTTTTCCATTGATTTTTTTTTTTAGACAGAGTGAAGGGAAGGAGGGAGGAAGAGAGAGAGAGAGGGAGAAACATTGATGTGAGAGAGACATCAATTGGCTGCCTCCTGCTCAACCCAACTGGGGCTGGGGATCAACCCTGCAACCCAGGTACATGCCCTTGACTGGAATTGAACCCATGACCCTTTGGTCTGCTGAGAACCCTGCCAGGGTTGATTTTAAACTTTTTAAAAAAGAACAAGGGCTTCATGTCAAGAAGGTATTCTCATCAACTGCGGAAGTATATTCCGCATGGTCAAGATTCAGTCCTTTTATAAAATTTTCTGTAGGAGAGGAAGTATGGAAGAAATCTAATTTGTTAGAATCTCCAGAACTGTTCTAACTTATTGGATAAAAAGAAGAAAATGTAGCCGTTGGCTGCAGGTAAGTTCTCTTTATACAGCCATATTAAAAGTGATTTGCCTGGCCCTTTGGCTCAGTGGTTGAGCATCAACCCATGCACCCAGAAGTCACCAGTTTGATTCTCAGGGCACGTGCCCAGGTTGTGGGCCTGATCCCCAGTTGGGGGCATGCAGGAGGCAGCCAGTCAATGCGCTCTCTCATTGATGTTTCTATCTCCCTCTCCCTTCCTCTCTCAAAATCAAAGAATAAAAGAAAAGTAATTCATTTCATCAGTGAGGAATAAAAACCCAAACCTTTTATTTGTTCTTGTTTATTATTTGGCAAAGAAATGGAATCTGAATGCATGAAATAGCCAAGGTCACTTTTTTTTTTTCCTGGCATCTCTTATTTTGAGCCCAGAATTTAGATAATACCTAGATTTTTAGTTTTGTGTTTTAAGGTGTTATGGATTGAATTCCCCACCCCTTCCCAAAAAAGGTATGTCGGAGTCCTAACTCTTCAGAATGTCTACAGAGAAGTTAAAACAGCTTATTAGCGTGGGCCCTAATCCAATATGGCTGGTGTCATTAAAAGGAAATTTGGACACAGACACTCAAAGGGAAAAGACTGGAAAGATGAAGGCAGAGGTTGGGGTGATGCTCTTACAAGCTAAGGAATGCCACAGATTACTAGCATACTATCAGAAGCAAATAGGGGCATGGACAGATTTTTCCCTTGATCTTCAAAAGGAACCACCCCGAGGACATCTTGATCTCGAACTTACAGCCTCTAGAACTCTGAAATTTATTTAAACCACCCAGTGTGTGGCATCCCTAGAAAACTAGTACATAAGAGCATCTACATTCCAGTGGCATTATCCAGAATGATTGGCTACTCCCTTGTGCACTAAGGTGTCCATTGAAGTGGGTCGGGTTAAGAGAATGAAGATTCCTGGTGAGGGGAATGCTGCGTTCTTTGTTTCCTGTGGTCGAAGTGCTTCCTTTGACACCTGTGCGGCTGTGTAATTGAGCTCCTGCCTCCAAGTGGCCCCCTTGGCTCAGCAGCCCCTCAGAACTGAACATCCTCATTTGAGGCTGCCAAAGACTGCGTGGCGGCATCCTTCTCAACTCAAGGACATTCCAGGAGTTGGCAGTGCCAGGAGAAAATTCATCACTGAGAGGCGTTTCTACAGTGGCCTATGCTCCGATTAGAATGTGATGAAAATTTGTTCTTGGCCAGAGGATTTCACCCTTTATAGGTTTGAGCTGGTTCCTTATGGTCCACATGCCTGATGCGTTTAATTCGACTAGAACCTCTTGTGTTGCTCCATCCTTAAGACTCTCCATTGCACTTAGGATAAAATCCAGATATCTTGCCACAATTTAAGAGGTTCTGCACAATCCATTCCCTCCTACCTCTCAACTGCCCCATTTGCTTTACTCCACACCCAGTTCTCCTTGCTGGAAGGCTCTCCCTCTGCTGCCTCACTGGCTGGCTGCTCCCATTCAGGTGTAATCTAAGTCACCACCTCTGTTAAGCCTTCTGTGGGCCCTTATCCTCTGTTAATATGGGGCACCTTGTTTATAGTATGTGCTTTATTGTGTCTTCACCATTAGAGTTTAAGTTCCATGACAGCAAGAGATTCACAAATGTGTCCTTTACATCTGTTTCCCTACCACCTTACTACCTAAAACTAGTACGGTGATATGTTATACACTGTTGAATTGGCATACTTTTTCCAAAGTTCCACAAGCAGATTAGAGTTTGCCTGGGAACCATATAAAAGCAACAATAATGCACGCCGAGGCTAGGCACAGAATACGCCAGCTGATCTTATTAACACATGTCCAAGAAAGGACCAAGAACTCGCTCCGTTAAAATGATGAGTCCCCTTTGTGGAGGACAACAATGGGAGCTACATGAAGAACTGTGTACTGCTGACCAAGATCTGCTTTTTAAAAGGTCTACTGTGTAACTACATTAGAAATAACAGTGATGACGTGGTACAGTGGAAGGAACACTGAACTTGAGTTACAGTTCTGCCACTTAACACATGATCCTTGAGTCCTAATTTTCTTGATTATATCCTTATTAGAGAGGAGACGATTTCCAATCTTTTAAAAATTGTCCTTATTCACTAGAAAAGCTATCTCTTTAGCCAAAGCCTAAAATGTGGTAACAGAACTACTCTGGTTCAAGCAGTCTGGGGCTGAGGGTCGAGGTGAAGGGCTAAGCTGCCCCCTTGACACCCCTTCCATGCTGCAGAGCCTAGGTGTTTCTCTGAGCACAGTCCTCTCTCCTAGATGATGTCTCGAGTCCATTTCTGTTCTAAAAGTTTAACGATACTTAAATGCTAATGGTTTGATGTGAGTGATTTTTATCATGTGACATAAACTGCACGGAGAAGTATTTGCTATAATATTATAAATATTGATAATAACTACCTTTCATCAAGCATCTACCAGGCAGGCACTGAATCTAATCCTTAAAACCACCCAATGTGATAGATGTGATCAACACAGCCAACATGCAATCTCAATTTTGGTTTCAAAACCCCTTTCTTCCAATGCCACAGTGCACTTTTAACTGTTTTTCCTCTCATTTTATTTTTTACATTCCTTGGCTTTTTTGTTTATGTTTTATTTTAAGCTAGCATCCTGTGTTTACATATGAAAAAAGCAGAATAAATGTAACCAGTGTATTATGGCAGTATTCACTTGGGCATTGTCA